CACAACCCTGCCTTCCAAAAATAAAATAAAAAAATTCCTTGCTGGGTTTTTGCGTCGCCCAGTTTCGCCGGGCGGACCCCCCGGGCCCAACCGGCCCAGCCTAGGGTACTAGTGCTTCAAACCACCAGTGCTTCCTAGAGTCGTGCCCGTTAACGCGTGACGATTTTAGGAAACGTACGGGCCACTACAGGAGCGCCCAAATTCATCCAAGTAGAAACGTTTCTACTCTATTTTTTTCCGCCGATAGCTGGGCCAAGTACTGGTGGTTTGAGGGGACAGAAAGAACTTCAAACATTCCCACGTTTAGTCCTGCAGGACATCCGATAGAATTTGGAACGATACAGAATAGATTAGCATGGCCCCTGCACAAGGATGACTGGCACATATATATTGAGAAATGGTCCAAAGGTTTACTTAAAAAAAGCAGAGTCCCATGTTTATTCACACATCTGAGTCCGTGCATGCTTTTGTGATTGACCGACTATTGTACTTCTGATGCGTCCTCCGTTGGTGCTCAAAGCACTTTGGTAATCAGAGGTGGGGCAGGCCAGAGGGTGGAGCTAACTTGGGGGTGGGACACAGCTAAATAGTAAATCCAACAGTTCAGTATTGGTAGTGAAGACAGTAGGTCAGACACCCGTCTACAGTGGTCTTCAGGATTATGGGTCTAATGTTGGCCTCCCCCTGAATATGTCGAATAACAAAAACTTGGGCCACCTTAAAGTGTGGTCATGAAATATCTAAAGGCTTGGGGAAAAATATAAGCTTACCGGCAGCAGTAGGCTGTGACTGACCGATTGTACACCTGTGTTTATTGTGTGTGGTTGTTTGTGCTTTATGGTTATACTGCAAGGGGCATTTACGCACACCAGGTACTTGTGGGACGTCGAAACCAGTGCTATGTTCACGCTTGACCAGATTTGCACAGGCAAACAGGCCATCCATTCTGTGACATGGAACAACAGACATCACATGTTTGCTTTGGGACCTTTTGGGACTCTGACACCCATCCTAATCTGCATAGCAAAAGACCAGGGGATAATACTTCCTGCCCAGGTACTGAAGCCATCATCTTTTGTTGCTAGCTTAAACAGAAACAAGCAGATGCCCACCACGGATGCGGCAGAGGTCATTAAACCACTAGTACCTCCGCCAGTGTTGGGAAATTACGATGTACTGGTCGGTCCCCGAAGTAATCGGGGATCCCAGCCCGGGTCGGCAACTATTCCCAACAGGTGATTAAAAAAAAAAAGGTTTTTTTTTTTTTTTTTTTTTTTTTTTTTTTTTTTTTTTTTTTGGCGGCGGTTTTTGGAGAGCTTTGGAGTCTGGATCAATAGGAATTCCGCGACGGTGGCCGTGTAGTGGAAACGCTACCGGGTCCTATCCGGGAGACTCACGGTGTCGCAGGTCGGTCGGTCCCCACTGGGCGGTCGTCCGTTCGGCCCGCGAATCTGTACGACCGTTTTCGGGGGCGACCTCCGCCGACTTGTGTGGTCCCCGTCTAGGCCTCTCGTCCGGCC